ATGCATCTCTGAAATATAATAACTGATAAATATGAACCTGAAACTGAGTGAAGAGAAACTACTTACTTGATAGTCAGTTTCTCTGCAGACTGTACATTATAGTGGTGTCTAAAACAATAAATTAGTATTTTACAAATGTATTATTGTTTCGTGGTGTCCACCAGGTGGAGCAGTCAGCCACAGAACTCCAGACGTTTAATCAGCTGAAGAAACAAGAGGATACTGCAATTCCCAGAAGACAAGAGGTAAAGACATTGACCAAAATACTTACTTTTCCAGTGCTGAAACAATTCTCAATCTATTAAGTAGTTTTGATAATTGATTCATCATTTAGGTCATTTATTTAGGTAAACCTGTTTAACAAGTATTGTGTTATTTATCAAGTAGAATGTCCTCTGTATGTATCATTTCAAATGGAATCTCTTTGGGAATATTGGTCAGACAAAACAAGCACTTTTAGGACTTCACCTCAGACTTTCCACAATTTGCTGAATTATTATAGAATGAAGAAAGTATGAATAAAATGATTGTTCATTGTCTCCCCATAGTACAACATTTTCCAAAGTTGTGGGCTGTAGTAAATTCTGTTAAAGATCTAAAGCCTGTGAGGGTTAAATGTGTCAAAGGCTGAGTAGGCCAAATACCCTAAGAACAAGATTACCATGATTACCAATTTCTTACAGTTCTTATCTGTTCTATCAATGCCTCAGACCTACGTACTTCTAGGGAAACAAAACCCTAATTATCCCATCTCTGGATTTTGCTGTCAGATTATTATCATCTGTTTGTGTGTGTGTTTCAGGCCCTGCGGGAGGACGTGGAGAGGCAGATGGAGAGGGAGAGAGAACTTCAGCAGAGATATGGAGAGCTGCTGATGGAGAGGGAGGCCCTGATCAACAGTGCTCAGAAATACTGAGCCACACACACGCTAATCATACATACATCGTACACACACACACTCATCGTAGAGACATTGACATCAAGCTAACAGCTGCTGTGAGAATCAATCGAGAGTTCTCCCTCTAAAGCCGATTGTCGTATTGAGTCCGTCATTTTTCAATATTTGCGACAATTCCAGAGATAAGTCCCGCCTCCATGTGCTTATGTTGCTATGATGTCACAAGCTGAGTTTTGAGCATGCTCAGTAGTCCCTAGTGTTTCTGTATTAGTGACCAATAAAGTTTCTTTTCAACAATGACAGAGTTGCAGTAAGTGTTTGTCTAGAGTAGATTTTATGCAAACTGTAAAATATAACTTTAATACAAGTCTGGTATATTTGAACAGCACTGGCGGGAAAACATTTTTGAGAAGTTTACTGAAAAATCTTTATTACAACAATAGAACAAAAAAAGGTTGTGCAGGTATTTGTGAAATGTGGTGCATCTTCAGCAGCTGAGGAAGGCCATCCCACTCCTCGAGTAAGCACGCTGAGAGAAAGAGAAGGATTTGTTTAAAATATAGTTTGATACTGAATAGGGTGTGTGTGGTATTAATGGAGACATTTTAGTCTTACTAAAAATGGAATTGAGCAGGTTTGTCCACAATTCTATCATTTGTTCTTTTAAAATTCAATATGAACAAATGGGAAATCCATCCCAAAAGCTTAATTTTGCAACAAATAAACGTGGCTGATTCCACTATCTGATTTAATGCAATATCACTAATGGTAATATTAGCTTGAACATAAACACATATTTTGGAAAATGTCACGTTAAAAGTCTTCACTTGTTTGAACAGAAACGGGAGATAGAATGTTTCCATGGATACAGTGAGTTAGGCTGTGTGCAGTAACGTGAGACCGGTTTTATGTTTACATCTTGGAAAACATTTTTTGAGTTACACTGCTGCAAATTGAGGCTCTGACAAAATACTACATTGTTACATTTTTAAATGTTCTGGTTTTGGATACTGTATTGAATATGCAAAGAACCGATGACACACAGTACATTTTCCATACACTGAAATTTGCAAAGTTTCCTTCATTCAACGTTTTGCCTGATGCAGATCTTTTGGGATGTAACGTTGCATCAACAAAACTTTTGGGAGTTTGCAAATTTCAGTGTGTGAACAACCTCTCCTTTCTCTTTGTTTTCTGTTTTTTGTCCTGCACCTGCACCCAACTGGGTGTGCACACTAGCCTCCTTTTTGCATGTCCATGTATACGTTCAACAATTACAGCAACTACACTTTCAAAGTACGTGTGAACTACATATCCCTGTT